AGAAGTTATGTACAGCTTTTTCCGTAGTTTTTTTTGTATAGATATTCGAAGCAACTTCGAACTATACTCTACTTGGAATTGTATTTAATAGCAGCAATATATATGTGCCACTATTATTTCTGAACGTGTATTTCTATCGCACTATTGAAGGTCGTTACAATTGAGAGACTAAGATAATCGACAAAGAATATTTAATAATATAATTATATATGTCAAACGAACTGAAAATAAAACTTGCATTGCAGTTAAATCAAAACAGCGAAGTAGGACCCCCATGTTCCGCAACCCCCCGTTAACTGCAATCGATAGATAGGCTTATTTGTTATTATTACCTGTACGAGCTTTTCTCCCTTCACTAAGCTACCCAGCGCCTTAATAACAAATATAAGGACAGGATAAGTTGTATGCGTGGTATATTACGATGTTGATCAGTATTAAACTGTTGGTAAAGAGTCGAATAAACTTGCAACGGTAAGTCGAAGTTTTGTTGATACGAAAATACCTCATTGGTGTTCGAAAAATTTATCGAAAAGCATAGGTTGATAGCAGTCGGTGTTTAATGGCTAAACTCAATTCGTCTATCGCCACATTGAACTGATCTGTATTTAACGGTTTAGTTTTAGCGTAGCAAGATCGAGTTGAGATAGACGATGATGGGGCGCCATGGGCACTACAAAGAAGTTGCAAAACAGAATAATTACCTTCGGATGACGAAACTTGTCATTTACGAGGAAATTATTACTCAAAAGTAATGAATGATGCTATGATATCTGAACAGGTAACAACTGCTTCTCACACAGCCTACACCATGATAACGAAAAAATTCAAAATTGTGGCAGTACGGCAGCAAAAAATGGGCCGGAAATACAAGTACCTTGATTGTCTTGGAGAAAATTTCCCCGTTCTATAATGATTCGTTCTATTGTTCCTTGCCTGGCCAATGTGTTAGTATTTTACTTGTTGATTTATTTTTTAGTTTATTTAACGATATTCGGATAAATAAACATGATCAATAAGCTTCCAGTTGCGGCTGCTGACCACAAAAGCTCGTGGTCCGTTCCTATACATCGGCGCTTTCACAAGCTGCTGATCGGAAGGCGTTCTATTGGTCCTTCATGTGGTCTACGTGAAATAAGATAGATAGAGGGTCTGGGTCTTAATACATGTTATCGGAGTATTTCGAATCGTGCGACTCTATGCCGAAACAGCTAGCGCTTGCCAAAGCGCGCCCCAAACTCGACTTCCGAGAAGTGCGCCGGAAAGCTTCGATACGTGGTTACCAAGTTAGCTCTATCGAACAGAAGATCAATCCCCTTTTTTCACTCTTGTCTATTCTAATATGGCAATACGTCATAAGAAAGTTTCTCGTAGGTCGGCCGTCTTCGCTCCAAACATCTTGCGAATATGTTTTGTAGACCTGTTGTTTATAATAGCAACGAGCTCCGGAATCACGATCAGGAGCTAGGGACAGCCATCTTCAGTGTCTGCGTTTAGTCCTCTGCGTCCAATTGAACCGAGAGCAAAAGTTATGTTGTCATCGCTATGCGAATAAGTACTCAATACGACTCCACATAGGCATTCGATAACCGTGACTATGAGTAAGCAAAATCGTATTTGGAAATTATCGCTAATCTGAACCTTTGCTTCTGAACAATTAATCATAAACGACATTTTTTTCTACACATATTGTTATGATTATAAAATAGCACATTGTGTTTTACGTTACGTAGTGAAATTGAATTGTTTATATTTCTTAGTAAAATCTAAATTTCGGGTGATGAACAAAATGACGTATGTAGTCGTATCGTTTGGACGTTTTTCCATTAACTCCAGCTATTTAAGGTCTTGGTCCCGAGTAACTTTATAGTTTTCGCTTTAGAAATAGTTTGTTTTGCCGCTCCTATTGAGTTAGTTAAAATTATTACAGTAGAAAAGTGTTTGGTGGTGAGCGCCCGTAGCCTACGAATCCAACCCTCTGTTGTTATTTTTGCGTATTTAGGCAGATCATACAGTGTATTGACAATTGAATGTTATCATTGAAGAACAGGTTGGAAAATAAGCGCAGGAAGCATAATGTAAAGCCAGATATGGCGAACGCTGTTTTATTACGTCTGTAGTTAATGATCCTTTATATCTGGGTAGGATTGTGCAATCATCCCATTGCGATGCCCGGCGAACAAACCGATCATCTTATTCTAAACAACTCAACTTATGCTATCGAAAAATTAAGTGCTACACCGAAATATCTATGTAATCACACGTACAAAGGGAGCGACTGTGCAACGCGCAATTTAAGTAGACATTAGCGTGATAATAACTCGAAAATTTTTCACTGTTTTAGCCTATTTTCAAGTACCAATATTTATATATTTACTGTATATATCAACTGACCCTCATCTCTACCAGAAGTCATTGAATCACTATTGTTACAAGAAGTGCGCAAAGCGACGTCCGTTACCATTGAACCCGCGATAGTTCAAAAGTCAGTCTTGCGTTACCGGACCACTCGCTGAAACGTTGACCAGCATTAGGCCAGGTAGCGAAGTTGCGAGATCGTTGGATGATAAAAAATCCACTTCATTCTAACCATATTTCCAATCGGTCCAGTTTCCAAAGTACGATCATAGGTAGATCTTTGAAATTTCCTGTTATCTATTATATTTGGGAACTCCGACCACTAAATGCTCCACAGAACATTGAAGCACAGAGTTTCACAATAAAAGTTGGGCTTGAGTCTCGGTTAGCTCTAAAATTTTACAATCAGAAAATTTGACGCCTCAAAAGTGTCCAAGGCCACAATGTCCTTAATGTGGGACACCACGTGAAACAGTCCCTCTCACAAGGTCCTATAATGCTTACGAAGATTTTACAAGCTGTGTGTTACCTGCAACTCTACATCTGTATGTTTCTCTAGTAAACTCAGGAACGCCACAAGAGTGAGTGTCTATAGTATATGCCGAAGGATCACACAAAGGCTAAAAGCAATTTTTTGAAGCTAAGACAATGAAAATCGTGAAGCTAGGAATGAGCCTAAATAAATCGGCATCATTACAAAGCATGAAAGGGATCGGTTGCGAGAGAAGGTTTGAAAGGTTACTTAGAAGCCACTAACTAGTTTCCTAATACTTTTAATAAGAAAATTAACTCATCGGGTGGAATAATATAAAAAATATTAGATCATCTTTTCTGCTTCAACGTTACCAGCATTTTCTAGACGTCAGGGGACAGGAATAAGGGCTCAATGTCTACAAAAGTTCAAAAACAATCTGTTTAGATACAAATACATCTTCAATTGCTTTGTTGAGAAAGATCCAATTTTAAGACAAATACTACATCATGTTCAACAGACTTTGGGTAAAAAGGACCCAGCAGATTGCGCTAAAATATTGGTAAACCGTTGAAATTAGGCTTCTTAGAAATCATTCTAAAGTTCAAACGAATTTTAGCGAAAATTTGCACCCCTCTAATTCACTAGGGTGTGGGAGCAAGCTAAGTGGTTTAACAACCATCTGTGTATGCTGCTCGTTAACACACTGGGGCTAGACCCCCAACTTCGCGAAGCGGTGTCGAAGTTTCCTGAAAAGTGTTTCGATACATGCTGGGTGCGCATCCTAAATGCTCAACAAGCTTATTCTGTTGCAACATTCCCGATGGTCAATTAAATCGGCCATAATTTCAATAAAGTATAGCAAAACCAAATTGTTTAGATGCAGGTTCTTCGACTGTCTGTAAGATGACCAGTCCTAACAACAATGGAAATTGGCAAATAGATCAACAGTTAGAAAAATCTATTCAAGCACGATATTTTCATAAAGGCATGTCTGGTAGTTTATAATGTCCTGACACATGTTCGCGCTTCGTGTCGCCTGCGAAAATATTTACTTGGATGAAAAAACAAAATCGTTATATTTGTTGGGCCATTATTAATACAGAATTTTTATTCCGGTATGGCGTTAAAAGCACCTGATAAATTAAACGTCATTGGTACCGTTCCGTTAAGTATGAATACTCCTCATTATATCGTGATATTGTGATGAAAACGTGTTTTTTCGTGTGTGAAAGATAGGTACGACTGCTCTGCTTAATAACGCCTCAACAAAGCGTCCACCGCTACCTATTTCTAGGTGGATTCTTAAATACCTAGGAAAGCTAAATTGAATAAATCGCAACAATCTTGTGAGTAACATAACGGTGCATTAAGATAATGCACGGCAAAACGATCGATATGCCGAGACGGATATAGAACGAGTCAGTGTTTTTTGTCCGATCCACTATGCAATACACGATTACAACTTCGTATTGAAACGTTTTTTTTTAAATCTATGGGATCAAAGCCATCCATAAGACTATCCCCGGGTTTATCTAGCTTATCTCAAGTATAAGCAACTATCTTCAAGGATTTTTCTTTCTGGGCTTTTTATTTTGATAGATTGTTTATAATCAGGCAATATTTTGTAGACAACCACCGCAAAATGAGAACAGAGATTTTTTAGTTCGACTAGAACTATACTCACGCTTTCGCTGCTAAATCGGGTGAATATCATATCCCAGTAATACTAAAAACAGGTCAGCCGCTATACGCCTATTATGGCATCTATACTAAGTATCTAAAATCAGTGAAATTTTTGCACAACAAACTGTAGGAACAACAATATAAGGCAAGGCTCGTCGCGTCGTGTCGTTGGCAAAGCTTTAACCAGCGACCCCTAGCTTTGGTCAGGTCGAAATCGTCCATCTGCATGTTACGCAATAGTAGAGTTCAATTGTCTAGCTCCGTAAAATGTCTTAGTAAGCGTCGCCTTAAAGCTAGTAGAGCTTACGTAATTACGCAACGCTAATTGGATACATTTACATGAAAGTCATTAGCTGAATTGTTGAGAATTTAGCTAGCGTTTTCAGTGTTTACGTCAGAACGTGCATCGATGTCTAACGGCCTGCGCAGCCTTCGACCTTGAACTGCTGTTCAGTGTTGTAAATGTTCATAACGTATGATCTATTTTGATTTCGTAATAGTAGTACCAATGGGTTTGTAGTTGCAAACTAGGCCTTGAGATGTGACACCGCAGCCTTTGATTCCTCTTAATTTGATATAGAGAGCCCTAACGTTGGCAAGGCTCTTGAATCACCAAAACCAGAGTAAAGCACTCGAGAGATGACTATTAAAACCGAATCTATAATGGCGATATGTTGTTATTGCATTCGAACTGTGTTGTTGTGTAAATACTTAACGGAAGTATAATTAGTTCAGGACTGTAATATCTATTAGGTATGGTAAAAATGATCCTTACGAATCACAACGACCTGCACCCATCAGGCGCAGAACAATATACCCTTCCTCTCCGCACATGGGAGCAGGGAAGACAACCAGCAACAGTGACTTTAAATCAACTTCAGGTAGTGATCTAATGAATACTACATATCCGTTTATCTGAATAAAAATCCTAATAGAAATCGCATAGATATGTTTAATGAGGTTTACAAAAAATGTTCCATCTATTTAGATTTAATGTGAAGAAAATTTGAATTTACGGCTGAAACATTATTGTTGTTGCCGTCTGACATCAAAAACAGATAAGTAACGAACCCGATAGGATAAAATATAGGCTTTTAGAAGGTCGCGGCGATACACGTGGCCCAACGGCGGCCTATACGTGGATAGAGTTTGAATTCAACCGGCCACCTTTGCATGCGTGCGTTGATCTGACACGTAGGACTCACGTTACGTGCTTGACCGCGTCAACGATTCGATGAACATCACAAGGATAAACGCGTACTGTTGTAGTATGCAGTACGTCGACGTACGTACACAAAAAAATTCTACGCTTTCGGATTGAGCGCATATCAGGAAGCGGCTGAAAGACGAATGTCTATTTAAGAACCTACCTACTAGCTCTAGAGCGTAAACAAAAAGACAGAGGTGTTGCTGTTGTTATTGGATTAGTGAAGCGTCAGTGCAGAATCGGTTCTATTGCAAATATGCTTACCCCACTACAAATGTGTTTAAAGTTGACAAAAGTTACACCGAACATTGTAAATAAAGTTGAAATCGCAAGTTGACAGAATTGCACTGCATCGTATGTAGACTTTACTACATAAACGGACAGTTACTACTTATCATCCAAATATAAACCGTATTAATTTAGAGATATGCCGAAATGTTCTATAAACATTTATTTTGTATCAACACCTATCTGCTTGCTACTGTTCTTAAGATGACGTCCACAACCATTTTTGAGAGCATATGTCTAAATGGATAATTTAAATCTATTGTCGTAAAACGGCTACTTAAGTCTTGTGTTTATTGATGTGATATTCTACAGTATTTGTACGGAAGCGTAAGAGACGCGAATTTGTAGGCCAAACGTGAAACTACAAAGCTGACTTAACGATAGTGGTGCAACGAATGACTGGGTGATGTTGGTGATGTTTTCGAAGACATTGTACCCTATCCAACAACTTTTGCCATTTTAACAACCGTTTAAAGAAGCATTTTGTTTGTGCATTAGTTCGTTTCGACCTTTTGTCTTACACGTAGATTTTGGGCAACTTGAAATGAGAGCAAACTCTTTACTGAAATGTAAGGAACGCTTTTTTTCTAACTAAATAGTAAAAAAAAATTCTCAAATACAACGTTTATCCTCACAATACAAGGATTGTCTAAACCCAGTAAGAGCGTTTGGTGAATTAACAGACTGTTAATAGTAAAAAAAAAATTAATGAAGATGTAAAAACACTCGACTTTGCAAGTATATCCTCTACTTTGATGTGCTACGCAGAACATTGACGCTTAACAGAGCGGCAATTGCCGACTATTTGGAGAAATATCTTTGTTTTCTGCTAGAGGGCGCAGCGCAATCGTGGCTCCACTTGTACTGTTACATTTAGCATCGAGCGAGGCAGGTGAACTGGAGCGTCCTGCTCACCGAGCAAATCAGAGAGCAGACCCGACGTGTTACCCCCTTCTCTTTGTCGAGGTTGCACCGGTTCATCTACGGGGGCGAGGGGAATGCCCTCGATCAGTGACTGCGTATATAACTGTGCTATCCTGCAGACAACTTTTACTTCATCCGTCGGTGTTACTGCGCATGAGTGACAGGTACGGGCGCATACTTCGCTGCAAAATAATGGCGGCTTTTCAGAGTGAAGATCTAGTTAAGCTGGTGAAAGACAACCCGTGTTTGTACAATAGACGACATGTGCACTACCGTAACAATGAAGCTAAAACTGAATCTTGGAACCAAATTGGAAGCTATTTTGGTCTGTCCGGTCGAGACGTCATGAAAAAGTGGACCAGCATTCGTGATCGATATAAGCGAACGCTTAACAAGGTCAATGTCTCGATAGCATTAGGCACCCATTATGATCACAAATGGAAACTGTATGACACTCTCAATGAAATGCTGTTCGAGAACTATGAAGCGCAAGTTGGTCCTGTTCCAGCGCCCCATACGCAGGATAGCATAACTCTCGCTGAGAGCACCCCTTCACCGCCATCTTCAGTATCGCTCGATGGGCTTTCGCTGTCCCCCAATACGAGCGGCTCTTCGCCACGTCCTGAAGTCATTGTCTTCTCCGACGCAGCTCAACTACGTTCCATCGTATCACCGACATTCGTTGCGACTACGGGATTCGATGAGGTCAAGGAGAACAGGGAAAACTTGCCACGCCCTCAACAAAAACGAAAGATCTGTTCGTCTACCGACAGCTCCGAGGACAGCTACGTTGATAACCTTGTTAAGCTGTTCGGTATAGATTTGGGCAGGAGAATACGAGCGATGCCTGCCGACCAGCAGATGCAGGCTATTAATATTGTACATCAAAGTCTCGTCCAATGTGAGATGGACTTTCTCGCCAAAAAATCTAGAAACAATCTAGCGGAGAATGACGAGACTGTTCTACCAGACGTCAGTACGGATAAAGAAACTAGAAACGAACTCCAAGCATAGACTGGGCAATCGTTTCAATGTGATAATCTTCATGGTTGGACTCGTCTGAGTCAGTTTTAATCATGACGTGATCCGGTGCACACAGCTGGAATACTCTCCATAGAGGAAAACAATACAAGCTTCACTGCCAAGATTTAATGTCACAGTGTGTATGGCGTCATCCTTCTTGTATAACCTGAACATTCAATTGAACAATTTTATTGTTAAAAGATGCTCTGCCGACACAGAGTGTGCCACTGTGTATTTTAGCTGCTCTATCAGCCATAGTATCTCAATTTACGAAACGAATCAGTAATAAATAACTTTCTTTATTCACACAATAATTATACAATGACAATGATTTAATGAGACAATAAAAGCTGAAACTGTATGCACTCTTTGTTTTTATTAGTTTATCTGGAAGAATCTTAGACCGACAGACCCGTTTGCCCGGAAGCGGAAGAAGATCTACGTGGGATCTGCCATAAAAAATCTTCATAAACAAATTCAAAAGAGCATTACCGCCGCCACCCGGCGGATTGAGACAGGAAGCAAACAACCCCTTGCCAATTCAGCTAAAAAAAAAAGAAGACGAAGACACTGTAACGCTCTCCTTACTTTGTTGGACATTAAAGATACTTCAATACGATGAGCTGGGAGCTTATAATGGTCGCACGTCAGGAACGGTAATAGGGCTCGCCAGAATGCTCCCGTCGAGTTCCTGTTGAGCAACCGCTCTTAAAGGAAGCTAGAGCACGTACTGGACGTTACAGCGAGGAAGTTTATACTAGAGAAATAGAAGTGAGGTTTGAATCACTATACGGCGAATCACGTGAGAAGGATTAAGGGAGGGTAGACGAGAAGGGAGATTATTATCTTACATATATCAGTATTATTACTCGATCTTGGTCTACGATATAAACGCCGTATGGTGAGGTGTCGTATCGTCTATCGTCTGTCTCAGATGCTTACAGGACATGGATAGTTTTTGGCATATATGGTAAAAACCGAGAAGGCGGATCTCGATACCTGCGCGCTGTGTGCATCAGGCTGGAGAGACAAAGTAGAGCACATGGCTACAAGATGTGATGCACTGCCAGGAGCCAGAAAAAATCAGGCATATGCCTACATCTACCAGGACATAGTCTCAAAGATGCCCATCTTGCAAACAAAGTGGAACCGTGAATAACGATAATTAGAAAGGATTATGCGCCTAAAGGAGTACAAGCAATGACTCGGAAGAACAAAAAAAAAAAAAAAAAGAAGACTAGACCGCATGAGTTGCGCAGTGGCCATGTGGTGTAGTGCCTTGACAGGAAGTCTAAATTCAACAAAAGTGGTCAATGCAGAGGAGTCAATTGAAGTAATGATAACGCAGTCCCGGAGGACATTCTTGAATGTCGGATGGCCTTTCATTACCAGCTAGAAACACCAAGGTTTAATGAATAGTACCGTATCGAATAAGCCTCGCGCTGCGTGAAGTTAAAATAAAAAAAGATTTGTCTGAGCAAGGAATGACCTAAATCTCATTGTGCAGTGTGAAAAGTAGACTGGTAGGTACTTACCATTATTACATGAACATTAACATATTTTTTTTACCTGCAGACTGGCGTTTGGATTACCTTGAATATAAAGGATCTCAAAGAATTCGGCCGAAATCACGCAAGAAATTAATTTACACACATTAGTAAAATAGGCACATAAGGCTAGAAATAAATATCAGGATGGCCATCTAGTCGGAAGCAGTGTCCAAATGATATCAAAAAATGGCTGGATATAATTACATAAATTTTTCTTAATTACTAGGTTTACGCATTTGAAATCTTATTTGAATGCAATAATAAGGTGTGCTTGTTTAATGGCAACTATTGACTTCAGACTGTTTTTAGCCACTTCTTTTCAACATACATCTGGCCCTAGAATACGAAGGACCCGCAGACTAGCCATGGTAAAAGTTGATACCGCATAAAACCTTTGCCTAATGTGGCATAATACGCCGGAGGTATAACTGGGCTTTTTTTCTTCTTGATGAAACTGGAAGGTCTGTTCACGACGAGGAAATGATCTCGGGCTTTCTTGTATCCCAAATCGTTGAAAAAGTTTGCAAGATAAGTGCTTTCAACAGTGTTATCTACCCCTTCACGTAATTAACAACGTAGTAAAGGATTACTTTGGTGAGCCGTTGATTTCCAGGCGGGGTAACGCCAAATGTTTTCGTTTTAGATACTGTATTACTGCAGATTTAGATACTCCGCTCAACTTTGTTTGCTTTAAAAAGTTTTTTTTCTAACTTAAGTTTTACAACAAGTAAAGAGATTCTAAAGACTAACATGTATTTCTACAATACTAAAACGATTTGAACCCGGTCAGTATCCCGTGTAACCTTTGTGAGTTAATAGATACGAGTTAAAAGCGAAGAATCACAAGAATCTAAAATCACTCGACCCTGAAAGCATATGCTCTAGCCTGGTCTACCGCGGAAGGCCTTTATTTTTGACCGAACAGGACTTAGCAGTGGGCCAGAGGAAAGTCCTTGCTTCCTGCTGGCTGTAGCACGCTTACCCGTAGAATTACTACATTTAACATCGAGGGAACTATATGCACTGGCACCTTCCGCTCATTAAGTACGCTCAACGTGTACAGTACAATAAGATGATGAAGCGGTTTTCCCAAATGACAAAAAAGGTAAAAATAAACTTTAAACAAAGTCTAGATAATCGTCTCAATTCATTTGAGCCAATTCTAATCATGGCCTGATCAGATGAATACAGATTGAATGTTGTGCGTAGCGGAAAAACACACAATCTCAACTGTCAACATTTGATAGTATCTGTGGCTTTATCTTGTTATTATTGCTTTAATATTGCCTAAGAATATCGGCTTTCTTGTACCTCAAATCGGTGAAAAAGCTTTGTAAGATAAGTTGTTTCAGCAAGATGATCTATCTTTCCACTCAGCTAATCATGTGATTCACTCTAGTCAACGGTTGGTATTCAAGGATGGAGGGGTGGGGTATCTCGAATGTGACAAAACTTCACTCGACTCCTCTCTATGGGGGTGCGACAATTCACCAGCAATGGGCAAATATTTCAGAGATGGGCCCAGATGTACGTGAACAAGCAACCAACAACTGGATGAAGGAAACAAGTGAAAGAAAACAAAAAAAAAAAGCCAATCTTATGAAGGTTGTACCTAAAGTATAAAATTTGTAATAAAGACAAATTTACGTAAATACATCTATTTACTTGTTGTTGGTGACATTTTGAAGTTCTTCCCAATTAGATGGCCATTTTGTACCTAACCATCAATGACTTGATCTGATTTAAAAGTCACCGAGTACTCACTAGCAAAGCTGGAATCTAATACTTGACAAAAACATCTGGTACAGACCTAGTCGCGCGTCGGGATTTTCAAAAGCTGAACGCCTGACATTGAGCTAGTTCGGTGCGGCAGAAATTATATATATATATATATATATATATATATATATATACAGCAATGTAGTTAAAAAAAAACTCTTTTCTCAAGTTAGCCAGTAAGTTATCCAAGCGGTAGTGGATGGGATGAGGGACTAGTTTAAAGACACGGTTGGATAGATCTGAATCAACGTAGAACTGAGGCAAACTGCAAATGTGAGGCGTTCGAGTTTAGCAGCGCTGAAACAACGATAGATTTATAATTTGTTCTAGATTAGTCGCTTCTAGCTAGTGCGGCTACTACGACGCATATTGCATAACCGGTGTGAACAGATGAAGTACTATGCATATGGTGAACCGCGTACATTTCTCGATAACTTTGACGCGAGGCGGTGAGGTCGAATGGTTAAAGTAACTTAAAGGAAAAAGTACGCATACTCGACGTCATAGGCGAGTTCCAAATTCAACTTTATACTATGAGCAACGGTTCCTCACGATAGGAAACAGAGGGGTCAGCGCGGCTTAAGTCGCGTCGCGCTGTTGACCAGCTCGTCCAATGTGACTGACTAGGGATTCAAGATAAATCGATGTAATCTCTTGTAAATTAAACGAGAACCACCACCACATGCAGTAAATACTCTCAGGCCACTGAATTCAAAGATTTTTTTGGCAATTTCATGTTTAACTTGGCCAAATCGTTATTGAAGTGTTATCGTTGCATAGTATTACACGAGGTTCAAAGATTCACAGTTAGGTTAAAAACAGCACAAATGCACTTAGTCGGTTTAATCATTTATCAATATGTTATTAATTTAATTACAATTGCAAGCTAGAACACATGTCATGGTCAGCGTCTAACCTCAGGATACATGTATGTATATACATATTGGCTAAATTCGTATATCCGTGCTGTTTTCATTATTTGCCTCTGATGAAAACATTCTAGCTAGTCTAGTACGCATCTAAAATGAATCCACTGGCTTTGACTATATAAAAACCTAATGTTATGTTTGAGAAAGATTATAATCAGTTAAATAATGTCTGGAAAGCTCTGGCTGACGAAAGCCCACCGTTTGTGTTAGGAAAAGCACGGGGTATTTCCATTGTATCTGATCCACAAAAACTTCAATGGTATGAAAGATTTTAAAATCATTTTTTTACTGACGGAAGTGCTACCCGCTAAAATGTGTGGATAAAGCCTTTATTTAGAAGCGCTATAGATCTCTGTCAGCCTTTGCCTATATGTACACACTCAGAGAGCTTAGATGGCCATATTATGGACAGAATGCAGCATTTTACGTGATGCTGTGTAGCGGAAATTTTATATTGCCAAAAATCGTGTTCAGCCAAAGGACTGCATTGTTCAAAGCAAGTGCTCTTGATATCTGTTCCAGCGACAATCGTGCCATTGCGCCTAGTAGTTCTTAACATGCAGTTGCGTGGATTGAATGTTTACGTAGGCTGACGCCAACATCTCTTACATTAACGGTCACGTTCCAACAAGTAGTGATAATAAGAAACCCCAATCCTCTATTATTTAAGGAGCCGTATTCTCTTTGTATAATATGACAAAATGACAAATCCACTTCAAATATTGATACCAAAAGGTCTCAGATCGTATACAAAAAGTATAGACGTACCAAAACATTAACACCACATTATACTCTTGCCCTCCAATGAATGTTAATATATGTGTAGACTCGGGTACTAGTCATCCAAGCACACACATATATATATATATATATATATGTGTGTGGATTTTTTCTTATGCCTTTTACGACTACACCTAAATTAAAACAAATATTTCAAATTTCAACAAATATTCAAATTTTCCGAATGTGTTAGAGGTTTCATTCTTGGAGGTCATACTTATCTACTGTAGTCACCATTCATTGCGATTACAGGTTCGATTCGGGTTCCACACCAGTCAGCAATTATTTTTAGGGTATTCTGTCTTTACGCA